TAAGAAAATCATTCTGCCTGAAGTGAAACTCTTTTGGAGACTAAAGTAAGAGACATATTTAGTTCATCCTTGTTTTCCACTCTTCCAGTTTGTTTTATTTACATCAAAATATAATAATAGCTTCAAAAATTATGTCTTGTATATATTTTTACTCTTTGCATGAAAGAGTTCACATTTTTTGTATGTCTCCATTGAAACAACTAAAGACTGCATATAGATAATTTTCATTGCTTATGTTCCACTTCAGAAAAGTTGTGCAATTTCTTTTAGTATTATCTCTTGTTATTCTTGAAATGTTGCTTTCATATATCAAAATTTATTCCATATTAGCAATATATATTTCTAGAATTTATACATATACTACCAAGTCTTTGGTATCCAAATACACAAGCCCATGTATACATTATGAAACCAAAATTCCAAGCAGACCCCATAGTTTTGTTGTTGGTTTAATTGGCATCATTCTGATATTCACATTTTAAAAAAGAGTACCTCCACCTAGATACATTCATCCATATATAAACAGTAGACATTTCCCACCATATATTGTGACTTAACATGCAAGTCCTAAAACTTTATCTCAACAAAATTATACAATATCATATACATGCACATCTAACAGAAAATTTTGAGCTGATGTTTAGACAAACTACATAAACCAGAGATAACTTATGTAAACTTGAGTGTTCTGTAGGAGTGGAGTTGAGATTAGGTGATGGAGATAAGAAGTAGAGAAGAGCAGATTAGCACCAATAATTAATTTAGAAATTCACTTACAAATTAAATGTTCCTGAGGTTTAGTATTACTGTATTAGTCAAATTAATTAAGAATAACCATAAACCGTACAAAGTTAATGAAAACTATTCATTAACTTGTTATTTATCTACTTTACCTTAAAGTAGATATTGAACAAGGCAGATTTTTACTGTCTTCACAGTATTAAATTACAAGTATAACATTTAAATTATTCTTTATTTCTTTACACTCTTTCTTTAAATTACTCTTGAGCTTGTACACAAATACTCTGATTTTTCAAAATTCTTTAATGAACAAGGAAAGACATTCTTTCTCTGGACTTGCATTGCTTTGTTACGTTCATTATCACAAAGTTGCATTTCATCACAAAAAATAGTAAAATATTTGCTCCTTTATTTATGGACATTAATGTAGAATATATTTTTGTGCAATAAAATCTATTGTGAGTATATTTTTGGACTTCCCAAATCACTTAAAAGGAAAGCTTAGATTCCTTTATATGTTTGTTCTCTTCAGGGATTCATTCTGCCCTCAATTCTCAGAGAGGTGACTTAAAAAAAGAGTTGTTTGTCATTCAGTTTAAATTAACTTAAAGCTACTTTTTAAATGTCCCAACTGTTAATTTAAAAAGTCCTTGATTTCCCAAAAGCATAATTTATCCTTTTGAAAGTTTGAATTAATCTCAAAGAGATGTAAAATTATTTATCCTTTATAATAGAAGGCTTATTTTTCATTCAAAAGTTGCCAGCATATGGTGTTTCACTTACTATTAGTTCTAAAACAAAGAAACTAATTTACTCTGATGATTGAGACTCATGCCATACAGCACATGTGTCAAACACAAGGCCCGCGGGCCAAATCCGTCCCGCCAGGCCTTGCGATGTGGCCCGCACCACGCTGTCATCACTGCACTCCGCTGTGTTTCCATCACAATGACAGTTTATGACTGTTCAGTAAACCATTTGGCCCGCGATTTAGGCTGGATTTTAGATTTTGGCCCCTTCTCTGATTGAGTTCGACACCCCTACCATACAGTATCAACACTCAACCTTTTTACTTGCAGTCTCTCTAAGCCAAACTTTTGATGAGAGATATAGTGAGAACTCTGATAATTTTTTTGTGCCCAATGGGAGAAATTTTAAAATTGATTGGCTTATGAGGATGAAAGTACTTGGAGTATTTGGAGTTCGTTTTTTAAAGTTTCAAAGTAAATAGATTTTCAATATTTGTATGTTTAAATTAGCATGCCTTGCTCTTAGATTTCCAATGGTAACTAGATTATTTCAAGCTATTAACCATGATCCCCTGGAGTCAAGTGAAATATATTAATTCTCTTGAGGTTACAAGGAACCATTTGTAAATATACCCTGATATATGTGATTCATTTCATATGCACACGCATTAGTCTCTCAGGGAATAATTAATGTGATCACTTGGTTCAATGTAGGATCAAAATGTTGTGGAGTAGTCTTGATCTTGAAGCAATATCCCACTAATCTATTTTTAAAAGTTACTTTACAAATAGACTTTTATTAGTGTCAATTGTTAGAAGTTTTGTCTAAAACAAGCCCATTAATCAAATGTTTAATGAAATAGAGTATGAGAAATGTGTAAGCATTGATAAGCATAGGTATAAGCATAGGTATAAGCATAAGTATAAGCATAAGTCTATGTCACCAGCAACACTATGTTAGATGCAACAATCTGTGTACCCAATCACTTTTCAATTACTTCTTCATAGGATGATATGTAATAAAAATGGCTTGTTCTTTAATAACTAATTTCTCTTATCAAATAGCTTTGTCATTCACTTAAACTTTTCAGTAGTTTGCTCCCCTCTAGAAGCCTTAATTATTAGGAGTCCTAACATGTATATTTTCTCTGTAATTATGTATGTTTTAATTACTCCTTTTCTTTATACTGGCTAACTTTTAGAAAATAGCAATAATTTAAATACTTAATTCCCCAAAATGTATTAAATGCTAATACTTGAAGAATTTTTACTTTCTAGAAATGTTAGTGATTTATATTGAATCAAAATATTTATAAAGGTTTTAGATTAACAATAAGACTGCAGGTCTATAAATTGAAATAAAAACTTGGGAAAGAGGAATAGAGAGTATATATGGTAAATCATCACCACTTTCAATATTTTAAATTATGTTTGGAGTTGCATCATTTTCATAAATTCTGATTACAATGATATGAAAAATTATATCCCATTATTTTAGTTTTTTTGTCAATTTAAATGAAGACTATATCTTGAAATTTTTTTCAAAATTATAATACATATATCAATATGATGTGCATTTTTAGTTTTCTAGATTTAAGCTTTTACATGCTATTGATATTTTTTCAAGCTCATGTAACTAAAAATATATTTAAGCAAGGATGGTCTTCACAGTATTGTTTACAAATGTAGAATACATTGAAAAGCATATGAATTATATTCAATAATGAATGACTTAGATAAGTTATAGTACATCCACATAATGGAATACTAAGCAGTCACTGAAATGATGATACAGATCAATATTTATTTACATGAAAAGATGATTATGCTTAAAAATTTAACAAAGCATGTAACGGTACATGTAATATGTTTTGTTTTTTGCTTATAACACAGTGTATGTATAAATAGGAAAAAGATACATGGAAAGAAATGTGCATACTGAAAATATTAATAGTGGTCACCTCTGAACTATGGGAATTTTACTTCTTTATAAATTTTTGCATTGTGTACATTATTTTAAAATTAGCATGTTTACAATTTAAAAAAGTGATTTCCACTTGAAAATATTTGATACTGAATATATATATATAATTTATAGATAATTATATAGAAACAGCTTATTCTCATTATTTTGTGGGCAAATTGCTAACAAAAGTGTTAAATTATATATTTATATTGAATTATGTATGAATAAAAGATTTTTATGCAGAAAATAAAAACCAATTGAGAATAGAAACAAAACGTTTTCTTGTGGTTGGATCTGTGTATGAGTGAATCATGTTTTTAAAAGTTATTACTTAACATTTACATAAATTAGGTATTTATATACTTTCAAAATGGATTTCAACTAGCATATATTAAGAGAAAGGAAATCCAAAGAAAATAGAAAAGTAAGTGTAATGTAGATGGAAGGTAGCTGGATGGGAAAAAGAGGAAATACCAATGAAATACAGAAAATGTGTAACCTAGAAATTACAGGCTAAATACTGTAAATGTAAGAAAGAATAGAATATTCTGTAACAACTTTCAAGCAACAAGACTGAAAGAGAAATGTAGTGCATTAATAGCTCTCATATGATAGATGAAGGCATGTGATTTAGTCAGGAGTGACAACTTTTTCCTTCATTTGAAACATCTATGAATATTTTTGCATGGATATATTAAACAATTACAAGAGAATGACAAATTTAATACATGTTCTTCAATGTAGTTTTTCAATATCGTTATAAGGATTATTTACCTTTTATATTGAAATAAGAGATGAAGTTAAAATCTTAAACTTATCTAAAGGCAATTCAATGCAGCTATTTACCTTTCTTGTTAATTTAACATTATTCAAGTATACATACAAAGGAATTTAGAAAAGTGAGTGGTAAGAATGCTCTTTAGATTGTTATCAAGTTTCAAATCTTTCAGGAAAGGTTTTTCAGATGAAACCAATAATATAAAAAATTTATGCCTAAAGTATTAATTCCCTAAGGTACTGATTGATAATAACACCAATATGCTTATTTCTCTGAGTATGAAGTTAATAAAGAAAACCCCCGACACTATTCAGTTTGTGGTATGCCTAAAATATATTTTAAATGAAATTTTAATATAAATGGAAATAATATAAATAAAGGAAAGAAAAAAAATCATATCTTTTTCAAATAATATTCATATATATTAATAATTTAAAGTAAAATTTTGCATAAATGATAACTGGACCACATACATTTCCCCCTGTGCTATTGATTTGTCAAAAAGCAAGTAAGAAGTTTGCACTGCGCTGAAACCAGTTTGGCTCAGTGGATAGAGTGTCGGCCTGCGGACTGAAAAGTCCCAGATTTGATTCCGGTCAAGGGCATGTACCTTGGTTGCGGGCACATTCCCATTAGGAGGTGTGCAGGAGGCAGCTGATCAATGGCTCTCTCTCATCGATGTTTTTGGCTCTCTATCCCTCTCTCTTTCTCTCTGTAAAAAATCAATAAAATATATACTTTTTTTAAAAAAGAAGTTTGCATTGAAATAGAATCAGAAGTATGAAGCATTTTGAAAATATTTTCATAGAAGAAATCAAATTTAGTAGTATTATTGAAATAGGAAGAAAATATACTCATTCAATTACTTTACCTTGACTTATTTAGGAAAACAAATGTGTGGAGAAGTGAACTTTATTCTCCATAATCCTAAGATATTACATTAAAAACTAGTACAAAATGACAATTTTACAATTAGAAATTATGTTCTTCACTAAAATGAACAAGGTTTTCTAGTTTCACTCTTTTTTAAAAAGAAAATACTTAAAACAAACAAACAAACAAACAAAAAAACCTGTGAATTCGCATAAAATAATCTCTTATCACAAAGTAGCCCAAACTAAGTGGGCACCAGCTTAAGGCCGAAACAAATCGAACATTCTTCTTCTCACCACCTGCGCCTGGCTTGGCCCAGGGTCACATGCAGCGGTTTGGAGCCCACCATGCGACCATTCATCTCACCCACCGCTTGGGTAGCCTCTTCAAAAGAGGAGAAACAGACTACACCAAACCCTTTGCCTTGTCCCACTTCCACCATCACTTTGGCTCGGCTAATTGATCCAAAGGAAGAAAATTCCTCCTTTAGTTTTTCATCATCGATGGTCTCATCCAAGTTCTTAATATAAATAGGCACCCCCGGAGGCCGACTTTTTTCTTTTACTTTCAGCCTTTCAAATCTTCGCCTTAATTCAGCCAGGCGTTCAATTTTCTTCTGTGCTCGCCCTACATATAGGGCTTTACCATCGACGGACTTTCCGTGCAGGTCTAGCACAGCCTTTTGAGCAGCCTCATGTGTCTCATATTTTACAAATCCAAAGCCTTTAGATTTCCCACTGGCATCTCTTATTACCTTAACACTCTCGGTTGGCCCATATTCACTGAAAATTTCCTTCAGTTTTTTGTCATCTACTTCATCTCCAAAGTTTTTAACGAAAACATTGGTGAAAGTTGCTCTATCCCTGATCCTAACTTCAGCTGCCCGCTCTTCTGGAAATTTGAATCGGCCAACATACACCTGGCGGTTGTTGAGCCGCATGCCATTCATGTGCCAGATGGCTCTATTGGCAGCTGCCAGGCTGTCAAAATGCACATAGGCATAACCCTTAGAGCCGTAGTCATCGCAGACAACTTTGCAAGAGAGAATGTTCCCAAAAACAGAAAACAAATAAAAAAGAGCCCTGTTGTCTATGGATTTGTCCAGGTTTTTGATGAATATATTTCCAACTCCAGACTTTCTTAAGCGGTCATCTGGCTGAGACCACATGAGACGGAATGGTTTGCCATTAATCAAATCAAAATTCATGGTGTTCAGGGCCCACTCAGCGTCTGCAGGAAAGCGGAAGTTAACATAGCCATAGCCCAGAGGGCTGCGGGTCTCTGGGTCACGGCAGATTCTGGTGAAGCGCAGAGGGCCAGCAGGCCTGAACTTTTTATAAAGCATGTCCTCGGTGACATCTGGATCCAAGTCACCTACATACAGGGCAGCTTTGAGGTACTTCTTTTTCTTGCCAGCAGGATTAGGCTCCCCACTCCCCATCTCTCTCAGCACAGGGAGAGGGCTCTCTTGGGAGCAAAAAGAAGTCTGCTTTGCTATGGGCCAAGCAGCTGTTCACGAACAGAAAAAGCCAAGGCAAGGCGAAGGAAGCTAAAAGCAGACTCAGTAACACTGTTGAGGCTGAGAAAATGAAGTTCAGAAACACCTGGTCAGCGGGCTCAGCACAAACGCAGCATCAGACAAAAAGGCATCCCAGTAAGGAGTCTGTTCTACCTAAGGGACATAAAATTTCCACCCTTTTAGATTTAAAATCAGTTTCAAAAGCCAGCAGTAGGGGGACATTTTTTCCCTTTCCCTCTTAATTTATAAGAAATCATCAAGCAGCTGGCTGGCTCCCCACATCTAGCATTGCAGATCTAGGCCTCACAACCTGTTTTCTGTATAAATATAGGCCTCGAGGTCCTGTTGGCTTAAAATTGCATCAACTAGGGCAGGGAACATGTATTCCTACGCCCGGGGCTGCCTGGCCAATCTCAGGCGGGCTTGCAGCTAACTAAGGCCGCTACACACACTCAGCGTCAGCGAAAGGGCAGACTGGGCACTTGGTGCTCTGGGCCAGCAGGCAGGCTGCAGGCGGCGGATCAAACAGAAAGACAGACAGACAGACACGCGCGGAGGACCGGAGACCGCCCAGATACCCAAGATTCCCACTGGGTACGGACCGAGTGACGCGTGGTGATTTCGGCAGCCTGAGACTTGCGGCAGGTCCGGAGGGACTGACTGGCAGAAGCGCACTGGGTCAGCTCCGACGCAAGGCGGTTCCGGACAGATGTGGGGCGGAGTCAGAAGAGAAGGGCAGATGCGCGGCGGGCGGGCAGAGCATGGACCCATGGACAGGGATTGCTTTCTCAGGGCAGACCTACCCAGGGACTAAAAGCCTGTAGCTGTGGTAGGGCGGGGCTCCAGAAAACCCGGAACCCTGCTAAGTAACTTCCCACTTCCCTGTGTTAACATTGTAAAGAAAAAGAAAAAAAGATGTTAAAATGGTTTTTAGATTTCTTATTTTTGGAATTTCATATATTTATTATTTTAAAATATCTTTAGGCTGCTAGTCTTGAAATTCAAGGAGAAAAGAACTATAATAATTAAAAAAACAATAACAATGAATTCCCTTAATCATTTCTGTATAGGAAATATGATATAGGTTGCATACTTTTCCCAAGCGCATTGGGAAGTCAGAATTGACAGTTGTCCTGACCACCAGTCCAGTGCAAAATGATCACAGGGTTGAATAAAACACAGAGCCATGTTGTGTTTGGCCTTTATCCTTACTCCATTAAACTCCTGCATGATGGTAGCATTATCCCCAGGTAGTAGGCAGTGTTCTTTTCACTGCTCCAGCAATACAAAGGTTTTAATTATTGGAAAGCCACAAAATGACTTTAATGGTACTTAGTGCCACAAAACATTAAAATATGCTGCATCCATAAGCACAAATTATAAAATCTTAAAGAGAGAAAAAGCTGCAGAATGGATATAAAATATATAATTAATGTTCTCAGATGAAGCAAACACATAAAGATACAAGCACATTACATAATTAATTACTAATTTTAACATGAGTTGTCAACTTTAAGCCATTGCAGGGAATAATGCTATAAGATAGGAATCAACTCAGAGGTTTCCCAAGATTTTTTTTAGAGTGCCTTAGAAACTGTTTTGGAGAGTAATGTTGCCCTGTTTTGGGAAAATTGCAATGTCTATAACACACAGCTCCTCATGCAGCCCATTCAAAACCCCTCCACTGAAAATGAAAATCCAGGCAATACACATGTAATTACTATTAGGCTAGAAAAGATTCTGGGAGGAGGGGAGAGAATGCAAGAGAAAGACATCACCCAAAAGGGCATTGTCTTAAAAAGAAATTCTTAGAATAATAGGCTTAATTCATGTGCTGCTTCATTTTATACATTTTAGATTTTCTGTTAGACTCTAGTGTTAACTGAAAATGACAATTTACTCTCATCATTTACTCAAATATTGAGAGAGAGAGAGAGAGATGAGAGAGAAACATTGATTGATTGCCTTCTGTAGGCACCTGGAACCCAAAACCTAATGTATGAACCCTGACAGGGAATCCAACCCGCCACCTATCCATGCACTGGAGAACAGTCCAACCAACTGAGCAACCGAGACAGGGAAAATTTAGCTCTTTTAATTGGGTTATTGCTTACTTAGGCCATGGAAATATTTGAGAAAAGGCAAATACAAACAAAATATTATGGAGCTAAACTAATAAAAACTGATCTTACAATATGACCACAATGAACAACATGTAGAAACACTTGCGAATCTCTGCTTAATTTATTGTATTTTGAACACAATTTTTATAAATATCTTTCCTGATAAGCTGAATTGACAGACTTTTTAATTAGCTTTTTGACCATTTTTATTTTTTTCATTTAAAATCCTACTTAACTGAAAATGTTATAAAACAACACAAAATCAATAGAATAATTCCCACAGTATTCTTACTGAACCAAATATAAATGATAAATGTTGCTTATGTTCTAATTAATTTGTACATATTTTTCTAAGATTATAAATATAATTTGGTTGTTAAAAATAATTTTCAAAACAACCTCCTCTCTACACTTAGCAGTCTTTTGAGGGTCGTTGTATAAGCATTTTAAACTATAGAAAACATTTTATTATATCAAAAATAATAAATAGACTTGCTTTTAAATTACTTTTAGTAATATTCCTTCCACTAAGCAGATATTTGTGGGAAAAAGGAAAACATTTTCACCTGTAATCTGTTTAAGCATGTTAATATTAAGATTGTGAAGACTCTCTGGAATAAAATCAGATATAGAATATTTCTCTTGTCATTTTTACTACATATTAAAGGCAACTTTATAGTTTATGTAACATTAAATACATTAAAATTCTCCATCCAGCCCACGCGGCATGGGTTCAATTCCTGGTCAGGGCACAAGCCCAGGTTGTGGGCTCAGTCCCCAGTGGGGGGCATGCAGGAGGCAGCCAATCAATGATTCTCTCTCATGATTGATGTTTCTAGTGCTCTTTCCCTCTTCCTTCTTCCCTGAAATAATATATATATGTGTGTGTATATATATATATATATATATATATATATATATATCTGTGTTTCCCCGAAAATAAAACCTAGCGCATGGAAAGATAAGACATCCCCTGAAAATAAGACCTAGCACAACTTTGGGAGAAAAAATTAGAAAAAAATTAATATAAGACACTGTCTTATTTTCAGGGAAACAGGATATATATATATATATATATATATATATATATATATCCCCACTGAGATTCCTGAGTCATTTGGTTAACGCATATTTAAGTCTTTCTAAATCTAAGAAAAATTTTCCATGAGGAAAGTACCAAGGACAGCTGGCATTCTAAGTGCATCCTATCAACCATTGTTATTTATAGTTGATAGTAATGTATCAGCTTTAGTGGAAAAAAAGAAGAGTTGTGAATTTACTTTTTAGTTTGTCTTAACAGGCACTTAATCCTGTGGTTCCACTTACCTGGTAAGTGTCTCAGTTGTACAAGTTGCTGGGCCTTCACAGGGAAAGTAAATTTGCTGCTCTCTTGAATGAAGTCTGGGACGGTGGAACAAAATAATAAAAAGTAAACATTTTATTACCTATAACTTGACTCATATATTTTCAAACAAAGAGGGGAAAATTGTAAAAAAAATGATTTGACATTATTAATGTAGTATAAGCAGGCATTTTTACAGTAAGATTTGGAGACGTTAGCAATTATTTTCCTCTATTTCCAAAAATTGCTCTGAATGATAATCATAAAGGTATTGTGATATTAGTTATCAAAGAAAGATTAAATTATGTTTATTAGAATATACCCACTAAAATGAGAAAGTAATGAGAACTGGAGAAGTTTCAACAGAATTAAAATAGAGTGAGATTTATGGTAAATTTTAAAAATAAATCTTTATTGTTCAGATTATTACAGCTGTTCCTCTCTCCTCCCCCTCAACTCCCCTCCATCTGATTCCCAACTCCACCCCATGCCCTTACCCCCAGCAATGTCTTCATCTATAGGTTTAAGATTTTTGTCCAATCTCTTCCCACACCCCTCAGACCCCTTTCACCCTGTGAATTGTTAGTCCAATCCCTTTCTATGTCCCTGATTCTATTATATTCACCAGTCCATTTTGTTTGTCAGATTTTTTTTTTATTCTCTTGATTTTTAGATTCGCTTGTTGGTAGGTATGTATTTGATGCCTTTTTGTTGTTTATAATTTTTTACCTTTACATTTTTCTTTTTCTTCCTCTTCTTAAAGAATACCCTTCAACATTTCATGTAATCCTGGTTTGGTGGTGATGAACTCCTTTAACTTTTCCTTGTCTGTGCAGCTCTTTATCTGGCCTTCAATTCTGAATGATAGCTTTGCTGGGTAGAGTAATCTTGGTTGTAGCTTTTTGCTATTCATCACTTTGCATATTTCTTGCCCCTCCCTTCTGGCCTGCATAATTCCTGTTGAGAAATCAGCTGACAGTTGTGTGGTACTCCCTTGTACGTAACTAGTTGTTTTTCTCTTGCTACTTGAAAGATTTTCTCTTTGTCATTTGCTCTTGGCATTTTAATTATGATGTGTCTTGGTGTGTTCCTCTTTGGATTCCTCCTGTTTGGGGTCCTGTATGCTTCCTGAACTTGTAAGTCTATTTCTTTCACCAGGTGGGGAAGTTTTCTGTCACTATTTCTTTCAGTATGTTTTCGATATCTTGCTCTCTCTCGTCTTCTGGGATCCCCATAATTATGATGCTAGTTCGCTTGAAGTTGTCCCAGAGGTTTCTTACATTATTCTCACACTTTTGGATTCTTCTTTCTTTTTGCCTCTCTGGTTGGGTGATTTTTGATTTCTTATATTCCAGGTCTTTGGTTTGATTCTTGGGCCATGTTGATCTATAGTTGAGTTTCTGTATATTCTTTATTTCAGACTTTATATGCTTAATTTCAGGCTGGTCCTTTTCCATTTTTTTGGTATTCTCATTAAGGTCCTTGAAGGTCTCACCAAGCTTTTTGGAGGTCTCATCAAGTTTCTCAGAGGTTTTTAGAAGTTTCTTGAGTAATCTTATAAATGTAATTCTGAACTGTGTGTTGTCCAGTAGTTTACTCTACTCCATCTTTCCCATTCATGTCATGCTTTTGTGTTTCCTCCTTTTGGCTGCCTCCCTGTGTTGATGGAGTGGCTTTGTGTGGTCAGTGACCTATAGGGGTCAGTAGCTCAGCTTCCCCAATCACCTGAGGTGGTTGCTTTTGCTATATTCCTTTGTGGGCTTAGTGCAAATTCTTGGTGTAATTAAGCCTTGATTGCTGTTGGTACACTGGGAGGAATTGACCTCCAGGCCAATTGTCTGTGAGGATCTGCTATGTCTATAAAGGAAGAACTGCTGCACTGGAGACACACCTTATTTCAGTGGGTGCTCACTGAGATTGTCTCCTGTATGTGTCACTTATGGGTGTGAGGGATTGAAACTGAGTACTAGAACTCTGGTTTCTGGGTCTCAATGAAGTGCAGTTTAGCTACTGTCTGAGGCCAGTACTGTTGCAGAAGCTACAGAGTGAACTACAATCCTATCCTCCTTAGATCTGTTTAAATTGCAACAGAGAGGGCCATTCATATGCAAAGTCCGCTGCTTGGAGCTTGGATGTGTTGTGAAGGGCAGAGTCTCAGGGCAGAGTCTCAGGACTTAACTAGGCTGGGGCGTGGCCAACAGCAATGGCTGCCAACCACCATCTCTCTGATGGCATCCCCAAGTCTCCCCATGTCTCACCCCACAGCACAGTAAACAATCTCAGCTCTGCAAGCAAGCCAGCCTCACTTTCTGACTCG